GATGAAAAGAAATTTACAGTCCAAAGCTCTATACTGTATGCAACTTTTGCATCACTAGTGGAACAGTTTCATTTCCCCACTCACCACTTTCACCTGATTTTACCAGATACCTATTCCTCCTATTCTACGACTGACATTGAGGACAGATTTCATTTAATTCTAATGGATGAATATAATGAAAATAATTAGGGCTCTTTGATTACCGAGTTCTAGAACCTACAGCTGACTTACAGGAACAAACATGTAGAGAAACTATATATACACACTATACTCTCCTCATTGAAACATGATTGGTTACTAACACTTCCATGTGCTATGTCCTGTTTTCTGGACATTTCCATTTCCATTCTTAAGTACAATAACCAGTTTCTTTTCTTATCATTTGTCTATACAACATAAAATAAACCTGATCTTGGCTTTGCTAAGATCAAATCTTGAAGACATTTTTGCACTTTTTGTTTTCTCAGTCCCTCAGTTTTGTACTTATTTAGACCCAGCTTACATTTATAACTCTGAATCATGTAATTAGTCTATTCACGCATGACCTGATTCTCTGGCTGCTACATTCATGTTACTTTCTGCATGCAAAAAAAAAAAATCATGGCTTCTGGAAGACACTTCTATTATCGCTGACAAAAGATGAATTAGCACAGTCAAGACCACTGTGAATCTCATCACATACTGCTGCAACAAGATGCAACAAAATCCTGCATGGTTAATTTCTTCAAAACACTGCACTATATAGGCTCTAAAAGTGCTGATTCAAACTTTTCCCTATGTGGTGACCCTATAGAAGACCACAAGCCAAAACTCATTGGTCTCACATTTATATTGCACTTTATAGCTTACTACTAATGCTGCTTTAGTTTGACCTCTTCAGCTTTGTTTTTGTTTAGTTAATTTGTTTTACTTTGGCCTAAACTTTTGCAACATGCAAATATAAATGTAGTGGTAATAATGACATTAAAGTGAATGCCTTACCATATAACTGCCATAAGCATGATCAAACATTTCAATAATCTGGTCCCTACAAAAAAAAAAAAAAAAAAAAAAGAGAGAGTGAAAGAGAAATTATCAGGTGAGAAAATTGCACATAGTATGTAAGTTTTTTACAATGTTGCAGAGACAGCAAATTTATATATAATGTTTATGTGTCTTCTAGACATTATTCACCTGATGACAGTCTTCTCCTCTAATGTCATGCTCGGGCTCTCCTGACATTTCACCCAGCCAAGAAGACTGGTGACAAGTAGGGTCTTCAACATCATGCCAGAGCCACAAGGGTGGACCAGCTCCCAACAACGTTTACTTCTTATTTTCCTCATGTAGTCTTTCCTCAGGTTGAGCTTTAATATGGACAAACAAGCGGCTGTCCTTTGTCCAATGCCCACACAAAATCAGACAGTCAAACTGACACAGTTGTCCTCTTTCAAAGCCCTAGTATTCCTCATTTTGGTATAGAGTCGGCCTCCTCCCAATTCCATTTCTGTATTTCCACTCTGATTGCTCTGTAGCTGGTCCAGTCTTGTTATGTCCACCACATGCTCACAGAGCACCACAGATGACCGCTATCCATGTATATAGACGTAAACAATGGAGGCAGATGGCGTTATCCTGTAACGAGACTGAAGTGAATCATTTACTGCTTGCAAACCAATGATGGTAAGATGATGTCATGGGGTAGGACTGGATAAGTCTGACTTCTTCCTACTCCATTCAAGCATGTACTAGGTATTAGCAAATTGATATTGGATTATGTGTAAAATTATGTGTGTTGTCATATCAACTGTTTTACATGCTTGAAAGAATAAATCAAATCAAATCAAATCATGAAGCTAACTGTAGGATGCCCGAGCAGGGCTAAGAGCACACTTCGTGTTAAATCTAAAAATGTGAAGAATTTATTAGGGTAACGTTAGTTATCAAATTAATGGCAAAGTGAAACTGTGGCTAAACCTCGTTAGTCATCATAACGATGGGAAGATCTAGTAATGTTGCTAGCCGGCTAACAAATTCCTATTTCGCTGTCACTTTTAACAATGCTAGTTAGTCAGCTAGTAAGCAACCTACATATAGCGTTAGCTAACGTTATGCCGAAATACCCTCTTCGAAAAACAAATAGTTCTGTTCTCATGTAAACTGACTATCACACAGGTTAACAGTCACTGACACGTACCCAAACATCACTAGGGCCACACAGTAGTTAGCTGACCTGACGTCGAGTACCGAGCTGTCAACTACAAGCAGGGTTTTTGGCTCCCTGGATGCTTGGGTAGTGTTCACTGTATGAGAAATACTGCCCTGAGTTTCGCATTTCAGGCAAGCCTTACGCCACCCAGGCGAATGAAAATTTCCCTTAAGAAAGAGACACGCAGCTTTGAATTGTTACAGATAGGATTACAGAAGCTTCTAATAAGGATTATGTTCAAGGTTGCCGCGTCACAATGAAATGGGCGTCGTAAATTATACTGGCCTGAAGGGAAAGGCACCCTTGCTGGTAATACTTAGGGCAATAACCCGCAAAATACAAAGGAAGGACACGTCACAAAATAGGTGGAGTCAAGAAAGTTGTGTATGGTAAATCAACGCAGCTAAGGGTAATCATATATCATCTACACAGTTAAAAGTTGTATTATGAATATGGAGTATGCAAAGATTATACTAACCATGAAAACTAATTCTGATAGGTTGCCCCTGTCACAAAAACTAGCTAAGTGGCTGTAGGTAACATGTAGTAATATTATTTGTGTTCTCAACAAAAGCACGATGAACCCGAAATATTGCCACAAAAGACATGAGATGACAGTTGTCTAATATTTTATCTCAACATTTAATGGTTCTTTGTCCAAATCAGGTTACCGCTGTAGTGCCTGCACTTAACCACAAGATGTCGCAACTGGCTCCCTCTTCTAAATATATTTACTCAACATAGCCTGCTACACCTGGATGCTATGCATTTATATAGACAAGTCATCAACGCCACAAGATGTGAAAAACAGCTCTGATTTATTTGCAGATACTCAACAGTCTATGTTCGTATTCTATATTTTTAATAGGCCTACGTGTGGATAAAAATGTGATCTCAACGTGAAGGTGTTTGTGAATTATAGGACCGCCTTAAACAACTGTTTTCCTATTTCTCGGTTCCTCTGCCTCTTTCTCACGTTATTTTCCCTGCTCCGGGAATATGTAGCCTCGGTAAATAAGGATCTTTTGGGTTATTAATGAAATCTAATGGCTTCTGTGGAGATTACGTTGTATCTTTTTTTACAAAAAGGTTCATTTGAGAAATACTGTTCGGTAGATGTTTAGATTGTTAGACTGTTGCACAACGGAGTCAAGTTACAGAGAAGGAATAATATAAAGCATCTGCTTTGTGTGCAAACATGAGCATAAGTAGGCTATGACATGGCAGTATTGTTTACAAATGAGGAGGAGTTCATGCGACGCGTATCCGTGATTCAACTTCCTCCTCAACTTGTTAAAGGTGTGGCAATTTTGCTTTTTGTGAAATTCGTCTTCTGACATCAATCCCATCCTCGTCCATAAGTACGACGAAAAATAGATAACATTTTCGGACTGTTGATCGTGCTTATGTACATTTTTGCTTGAAGGATATTTACTTTTTGTCTGTTCCATGAGTTGTTTTTATTCTGCGTGGATCAGGAAATGTGTAGTATATTTTAATGCAGAGGTCCACGTAAAAATGTTAACGGTTCCATTTTGTGTCTATTAGACGATGTTTGTCTACTTTAAACCTACTCAACTTTTATTATATACACGAAGGCAGGAATAATCCAGTGGATGTGTTTATGTTACTTCAGGATGTGGAAGCCAGTTGCGCTCGCTCTTAAAGTCAGAATGAAATGAAATGTGCAGCCAGACTAAAGACACGTCTTCATTGCTGTTAATGAATTTAATTGCAATTTTAAAAATTGATTTAAGTTCCCGTGTGTAAAAATGTTGACACTATGCTTTTTTTCCCTCATTGCCAGTCTGGGATTTATAGACCTACAACAATGTCTGCGTGGGTGAGTAGGACACTTGTTGGCAATATCTGAGTGATGGTTGAAATTAGATTTTAGTCTGAAAATACAGGTGATAATTTAATATTTGTTAACTCCTATCGTAGGATGACTTGGAACTGCTGTTAGACTCCCCCTCCTCATTGACTGTGACAGTAAGTTGGATATGCTCTTACCTTTTTAGTGTGGAGATAATTTTGTAGCCTAAAGATAATTGTTATACAGGCTTCTATTGATTGAATGGATAGTGACAAAGTTTAGAATATAAAATATTAAACGGGAAACAATACATTAACGTGTACATGGAGATGTGTTACTGTTGTGTGTCTGCGTTTGTCAGTCCAATGCAAGAGGAACTGTAAAAGACAAGCCTAACTTCAAAGTGGAGGAAGATGTGTCTGCACTAAGGAAGGCCATAGAAGGCCTTGGTAAGCTAATGAGTTACTACAGTATTATCAGTGCACACAGCTGATGCAAATTTTTATCTTTATACAGTTGGGGAAAGTGCAGCATAAGGTGTTTTATGTTGTCCTCTCCTTCACAGGTACAACAGAAAAAACACTAGTTGAAGTGATGACCCAGAGAAGTAATGCTCAGCGTCAGCTTATTGCCAAGGCTTATGAGAAGGCCACAGGAAGGGTATATAAATTTGGATGGCATATTATTGGGCCAGACTGATGATGCTGGGGTACAATTTGTTTGTGTTAATTAATTCTATTAACTGTCCCTTCAGAAATTAGTAAGTGACCTGATGGGTGACACCCATGGAGACTTTGAGGACGTGTTAGTAGCGTTGGCATCACCGCTTGCTGTCTACGAATGTCATGAAGTCATGAAAGCCATCAAGGTGAGGCTGTGTTGGATTGACTTCAAGATAACATGACCCTTTTTAGTTTTATAGAGCCTATGATGTCCTAAAAATGTCTGGCTCAGTGTAAGGTTTGTTTGGTGTGGTTTTAAAACAGCACTTCAGTGTGATGTTTCATTTATGTGTAATAGCCTGATATTCAGAATGAAAAGCACTTCCATTTAAATCTGTTATCATGACATCATGTGTATCACACACAGGGTGCAGGGACTACAGAGAGCATCCTAACCGAAATCTTTGCCTCAAGATCCAACAAACAGATCATCGCCATGTCTGAGGCATATCTGGCAGGTTAGTATACTTAATTTCACTGATTACATAGTAACTCAGATTGTGAAACAGTTGGCAGATGTTCATGATGCAGTGTGTCTTATTATTTCTACTGTGCTATTTTACTCAAGAAACGGGAAGATCACTGATCTATGATCTTAAGTCGGAGGTATCTGGAGATTATGGCAAAGCACTGCTCACCTTGGCTGAGGTACTATTCATTGAATTAAAACAGTGATGTGCCATCAAAAGGCATTTCAAACAAAAAGACCCAATTGGTAAATATACTGTAGCCAGACAACTTGGAATGCTCCAAGACAGTTTTCATTTAGAGGCTTGAAATGAAGAGAGGGGAACAAAAAAGTTTTCTACAAGATCTGTATATCTTTGGAAAGATTGCCATCTCTTTATTAAAATTACAACATTTACCTCAGATGTTAGTGACAAAGAAATTAAAATTCCATTCAAAAAGCTCCATCACTTAAATTAATTTCTAAGCAAATGAAAAATAAATTGACTTCATTATCACAATCACTTTCGTTTCTCCTCACAGGGTAAGAGAGATGAGAGCACCAATGTGGACAATAACAAAGCTAAAGCAGATGCTAAGGTATACTCATTATGTTCAAATCAGTCAATGGTATTTGACCCTTATTTTTCTTCCTTTTTCAAGCAAATTCATTTTCATTCCACCCAGGCTCTGTATGAAGCAGGAGAGAAGAAGTGGGGTACTGATGAGGCCAAGTTTATTGACATCTTGTGCCACAGGAGTGTTCCCCAACTTCGACAGAGTGGGTTGACCCCTTACACATTTTTCCTGTAGAAGCCAGTGTAATTTTTAAAAAGTGTATATAGACTACATCCATGCAGCTCTGTATTTAGGCACAATGGTGCTAAATTCTATCAGCATGCTAACAATAATAATGGTAACATATGCAAAGCAGGTATAACATCTTAATTTTGCACATTTTAGATAAAACATATATCATGGTCTTCCATCCAAGCTTTATATATTATTCAGTAAAAGACAAAAAACATTCACCTCAAGGTGGCATTAGATACAGAGTTAGAGGATCACCCAAGTCAGTAGGGTACATCCTCTGGGGACCTTGATTTTCTCTGCGAGGTATTTCAGTTTGGACCAAAGTGGTGGACCAACAGAGAGACCGACATTGCCACCCCATGAGGCATGATGCTTGTGTCACAGAAAAATTAAAAGAAATCTACACCTTTAACAGGAAGGGGGGAAAGTTTAATTCAAATCTGTTGTGCTTTGGCAGCCATGGTCGAGTACAAGAATATTAGCAAGAAGAGTCTGCAGGAGAGCATTGAGAGTGAGATGTCTGGAACCCTGGAGGACCTACTAGTGGCCGTAGGTGAGGAAAACACTATTCTGTGCACTTTTCTGATCCTTTTGAACAGTAGTCCATTTTTATTGTTGCATCATCATTTTCAAGTGGGATAAGTTAATCACTTCACGAGACATTTGACACACAGTAACTTAATTAAAAAACTTTTTTTTTTTAAACATTTTCGTGTCTAGTTAAGTGTGTGAAGAGCACTCCTGCATACTTCGCTGAGAAGCTTTTCAAGGCCATGAAGGTAAGCTGTGCAGTCTCCATCTCTGCATGAGGGTTATTTAAAACCCGAAGCCCACACATCCCCCCCAGTGGCTCCCAAAACTAAATCTACATACTGTTTGGTTGCACCACGTGTCCCTTTCAGCCACAGCAGACAACTGCATTGGTCAGTGATGTGGAAAGGAATTTTAAGGCACAGTTTTATTTCTGCTGCTTTGACTAGAGGCACATAGAGGCTCTAAAGTAGGGAATGAAAAAAATTTGCAAGCACAGACATTGCCCATTATTGCAGGATAAAATATGTGAACAAGTGATATGAGCAATTGATTTATCCAGGACCAATTTGTGGCTTTCCTTATTTCCTAAATTGATGACTGTGGTTCAGTGGGTAGAGCGGCCGTCTCCCAACCGGAGGGTTGGAGGTTCAAATCACGGTGCTTACAGTCCACATGTCAAAGTGTCCTTGGACAAGACACTGAACCCCCAAGTTGCCAGCAATGATTAGAGCCATCGGTGTGAGTTGGCGCTGCAGACGGCTGCCTCGGTTCTGTACCGGAAACACAGTCCTTGTCTGTAACATACTTGGCCAAATAAAGTTGATTATCCTTATTACATTGTTTAGGGTCTGGGGACCACAGAGTCCATTCTGACCAGGATACTGGTCAGTCGCTCAGAGATTGACTTGTTGGACATCAAAGCTGAGTACAAGAAGCTGTCTGGATCTTCCCTCTACTCCCAGTTACAGGTCAGCACACAAGCCCACAGACAAGAAATTTAATGTGGCCATTACACTCTACATATCAGTATAAATTCAACATGTCATGGTCTTGAGACACTAGACAAGAAGGTTGCTATGTTAGCCTCAAAAGATACAGTATGTTTTAAAAATTATTTTCTTAAAACACTGACATGATTTCCTGCTTTCCTCTCCATGTTTGTGTAGTCTGAAGTGTCAGGTAGTTACGGTGACATCCTCAAGCGGCTCTGTGGCCAAGACGATTAACTCCTCCCAAAAGAGAAACATCGTGTGAAGTACAGCTCCCCATACAATGACCACTCACTGACCTTTTATTATTTTCATATGGTTTCATTTGCTTTAAATGTAATGCCTGAAACTATGCAGAAGTGCTTTTTCAATGTAGAATTCCACTAATGTTTAACCATACACGGATATAATTCACACCAAGACATATGAAGATACTGTTTAAAATGCTTTGTATTCCATGAAACAGTTATTAGCCACACATTCATTACTTATATTGTAACACAAATAACTGTCATGACTTTCACACTTAAAATAAAAGCTATAATCTACTGTTTGAGTGAGTAAACAGATACAATAGGACACCATGACATTTATATAAAACGTTTATTTAAGGGTTTTGTTTATGTTGCTGTATCCAACTCCCGAGTGAGTAAACAGATACAATAGGACACATGACATTTATATAAAATGTTTATTTAAGGGTTTTGTTTATGTTGGTGTATCCAACTCCAACACAGGTCATTAGGACCTTGTCTCCCCCTTTCCTTTCGTCTTCAGAGGGCTTCTGAACCTCTATCTTGAACATGATCTGAAAGAAATCTCGAATGTGTCTGAGGAACTCGATCCTGGAGAAACAACAAGAGCAAATGGTGACTGAGAGGCAAAGAGGGAGGTAGTATGATAAACAGACAATCTGTTTAATTTTTATGCTCTTATTTCCACTGATATATCCTGATCCTACACGTCGCAGTCCCAAAGGAGAGATGTTCACCCTTCTTCAGCTGTCAAATAATACACAGCAGGATCCTGAGTGTACTCACAACAGTAAAGACAGAAGCTTCATCTTGTAACTCTAAAGTTCATAACATTTAGTTCTTAAAGTCTAGATGTTAAAAAGGCTAAGATAATTACATATAAACAGTGACAAAAAGGAGAAATGTAAGCATAATTTCACAATTCTAAAACCAATTATTAAGATAAAAGGCTGTATTGTCCATCAGTATTGTCCGACTATGAAGAATGCATTGTGATGGCACTGCCAATCTTCAGTTATCATAGTACTGTACTTGAGAGGGACACAGCACCGGTACCATGATAACTGAAAATGGACAGTTCATAGTTCATGAAGGCATTGTCTTAAATCAACTTTGTGTACAACAGGACTTCAATATTCTTCTCCTTTATCCTTAAACATTTCAGTTTTGCAGTTCATATCAATATTTGACTAAGTATTTCCTTTCATCACACATTCATCAACAACCTTTCTATGAAATAACACTGACCATGTAAAAACAGCTGGCCAGGTGCCATGGCAAACGTGAAAAGCAAAAAAAAAGTGACTGAGCTTAATATGGGCTTGATATTTGCCATTTGATGCATTTAAATTTACTTGCAAAAATTCTGGTGCATCATTTGCATTTAGACTTTCCAATATGTCCAAGTAATTTTCAGCTATGCTTATGGCAAGAGCATCCCATTTACTGTGGGACACAAATTGCTGTTCTCAGTTAAAACAGAAACACAAACTGATGAGTGTTTGTCCAGTATTTTGACCCTGCAAAGGTACGAGAACTAAGGATTGTTGTCACTTGAGAACTGAGGACAGAGGTATAACTAAATGTAGGCTCCAGTGTGTTTTACATTTGGAAAAAGTGCATCTGTTTATTAACGTAAGAATTTGACAAGGGCCTGTCTCTAGAGTTCAGTGGGGTGGGGAGTTTAGTTTGCGCCTGTTACTGAATGACAGTGGCTTACGTGTAAGAGGAGAGGGGTCCAAGAAGAACCTTCGACACATCTGGTTGGCCAAGGGTCATCAAGAGCAACGCCAGGCTCTGATTGGATGAATCCACACAACCTCCCTAAAACAGAGAAAGGCAGGGAAAGATATTTTATCAACAAAAACAACACAGACCTGCGTCATGGAGGTGGAGTTTTTTTTTTTTAAAAAGAGAACTGTGCAGCCCCTCGAGAGAAGCATTGGTTATGTCGGGTCCAACACTGAGTCTACACATAAAACCTAGTGGGAATTCACAAGACAGACTCTAGGCACAACTTTAGGTCAAATCTAGATTACTGAAAAAAAAAATTACTTTGGTCCCGATCTAAATTACCAAATAAAAATTAGCACAAAGCTACAAGGCTGAAACATTTTGAAGTACATCTGTTAAGTTTATTGTAGTGTTTGGCTGAGAGATTTTATTACTTTTTCAAAGTTTACCAGCTCTTCTCACGACACTTTCTACAATCTTTATACATCATATCAGTAGCTCTCTCCTCACATTTCTCTTCTTCATCCCACATAACACTGCACTCCCCAAAACCTCAGACCTTTTCCCTAACGCTCTCCTTTATCTTCCATGTGCAACATTTGGAGGACTGAGGGCCCACTTTGTATATCCAAGTGATCACATGCCATTATGATCACTCACTAACAGCTATGTGGTATTCCCCATTATATGAAGAAGCCCATGCAAGAATGGCCACACCCAAGAATATTTAATAAACAAGTTAACTTTAAAATGGCTGTCCACTAGTAGTTTTAATAAGACACTGACTATTGAATGTACAGGTGCGCAACAGCTCAACTGCAGCTATACAGGCTCAGATTCTTTTAGTGCATCCATTCTCTCAGTATGTGGCATCGTGACAGTTTGTCAGCAAGGATATGATTCATTAACTCTTGTGTAATCATATCACCAAAACCACTGCAGAACTATGGTGACACTGTTTTTATGGCCGATGAGGTGGAAAGTTTCCCAACTACATCCTGTCTACAAATTGATATCAAACTTTATACGATGTAACAATGAATTAAAAAAAAAAAGACAAACTGTGCAACCTTATGGATGACTAAACCATCAACAAAATAAAGGACAAACATGCAGCTTATTTCTACCATTTCATTCCATTAACAAGCTTTCTTCAGAGGCCTGTGATTAATTTTTCATAACATAATTCACAAAGAAAGCCCATTTTCATTTTTATTACAAAAAATAGTATATGCCCCTATGTTAATAATATATTAAGAGTAAGAAACTATTTTAAAATGAGGTTTTATTCAAAGACACTTCTCAAACATTTTCCACAAAAAGGAGATTGCATGAAGTCAATTTCAGTAAAAAACTGTGTTGCATTTTAACTCCTTACCTTATTGCGTTGCTGACCTGGGCTACACGAGCTGAACGTCGTTCAATTTATCCTTAACATGTGTTGTTCCACTTTTCAACAAACAACTTCACTCAAAAACACCAAACTAAGAAACATAGCACATTAACACCATTTATGACAGCTGGTTTCAGGCTCTGCCTTCCAGAGAGGATGAGAAAAATTTTTTTTAGATAAGATGTCCCAAGAGGCCGGCAGCCACCAATTAGACACGACGCCTTACGGAAAAGTCCCTTGAATCCTTCAAGCAAATGGTAACCCCCTTTCCTCCCCTCCAAAAAAACATGGGGGCAGACAGTCAAGTTCTACACTGCAATATACCTGTAATGTAAAATCAAGAGTCAACAGACTTAAGGGTCTTTATAGATGTAAACTTGTAAAACAAAGTGTGAATAAAAAAAAAAACTGGGTGAAATCCAGGTTTTGGCTAACAGCTACTTAAGGACCAATTTTAGTCCAATTTGACACCAGTCTTACTTTCAACAATCCAAGTTGTTCTGTAATTAGTGAGAACACAGCAGTATTTTCTTTTCAAGTTATAAACCATACCAGGCTAAACACCTGCCTAAGATCCTGATTTACTTCTGACCAATTATGTAACCACTACTATGGCCTACTTTTTTTTGTTTACTTGTAAGTCACTGGGATAAAAACATAAATGACAAAACTCTCACTCTCCACACAAGCATACACATAGCCAAATCAGTGATATCTCTACATTCAATAAAATTTTAACTTAGCCAAAAACCCCCAAATTTGAACAGTGCACCACTTACAACAGCTCCTGTCCGGTGTTGATGTTGCTTCCAAAAATCAAAATGTCCATCGTGCAGCTCCGATCTACTACAAGAGCACTGTACTGATTAACCATAAAACAAACAGAAGCATACATTCAGAGTGCCCATGCCCTGTAATCCAACAAATTTGTTTTCCATTCTCAGTTTTCAAAAATTAACTATTCCAGCAGGAGAGTCACACATCCATTTTACTCTGGTGTTATACTTTCTCTACTTTCTCACTCACTGCCTTCCTGCTACAGTTAGGAATTAAAATCGGCAGTTATTCAAATGTTTAGTTTCCAACCATGTCTGGTGAATCTACCCATTCTAAAAGAAGCTTTAGTTTTTTGAAAAATGAACAAGACATTTTAAATCGAAGGATTTTGAATCCACCACTCTGCGAGGCTGCAAAACAAAAAAGTCAGCTACCCACTGTTGCTTGAAGTTAAGAGGATGTATTCAACAATATTCCTCTTTTAGTGGTAATTACCATCACCCTGACTAGCTAACTAGACTCATATGGCTCCTATGAGACAGGGCTGAAGCAAAGAGAAGGCACAGGGTCTAAGTGTACATATTCTGATGAAGTGAGCTCTTTTTCCTGTGTGATTCTTTGTTTGTGTTTATAGTCAGAACCAAGTCAGTTTGTCTTATTGCTACTACTTTAAGTCACACTTGGGGACACACTACATGAATAGAAAGGTATGGATACATACAATGCGACTTTGTGAGGATTTTCTTTCCCTGTGGACTTAAAATCAACTCAGGAATTCCTAATATCTCAATACTGTCTGAACAAACACTATTCAGCTAACACATCACCAAATCAGCTGAAACACTAGTGTATTCCAGTGATAACATGCTGTAAATCAATCACTTTCCTTCCTTGATTAAAGCAGCTGTTATTGTGAATTTATGAGCACAAAGCCAGTCTATGAATAGGCTGAAACCTTTTGGCCAGATTGGTCAGGATAACAAGGATCAGTTATCTATTCCTGTTCACTGTGAGGAAAATCTTTTATACCATTTTCACAACAGCCAGCTGAATCTAAACAGTCACTGTTGGAAAACTAAATTACTAAAATTACTACAACTACTTAAATTTATAAAATTCCAACTTCACATGTGAAAGATCAAAATTAATCTGATCCCAACTTTAAAAACCACACCACCGATATAAATGTGTGAAATGTGAGGGTGTCCGCAGTGCTCACCCGATATACCTCCTCCAAAAGTAGTTTGGCACAGTTCCTACCAAGGTCCTCTGGCAGCACAGGGTCTCCCTGCCCCTGCGGTGTGGACGACATCTCAGCACTGAGGAAGCAGCCATTCAATGTTTCAGCCACCAACATAAGACCAAAGCCTGGAGACCTGCAGTTAATCAACATAAATCATGTGTCTGAGACATACAGAAACCCATACAACATAGCCTAAACTAATTACCTCATCAATTTATGTTAATACACTCACCTGCCCGAGTTGACTCCTTTCATGTGGTCTGTGTATATGTAGATGTCTGGAAGAAACTGGTTGAGGATGCCCCTGGCTGACTCCACTATCCTGTTAGCCATCTGGGGAGAAACTCGCGCCGAATATCTGGATTTAAACTGTCAAGTACCTTCAGTGGCTCATGTAACCAAGTTGTGGGAATTAAATAATGTGATTTTATTGTATGGTGCAAGCAACAGATCAACATTCACCACTGAAAAATGTGTTACGGTGTAAAGACCACAAATGTGAAAAACTGGCACATAAAACAAAGGTGTGCAAATCTTAAACACTTAAAACAAAGGTGTGCAAGTCTTAAACACTTGGCATTAACCCTGTGATAAATAATTTCACCTCACTGATGACACTGTATGCAGCCAAGTTCCAGGTTTAGTTCATAATAAAATATTTTGAGCACCCATAAGATGAATAATAGATCTAAGACTAGGTGATTATTTTAAGTCAACTGACAAACTTATTTACCAATTATTTTGATCGTACTTAAGTCACTTTTAGGCAAAAATATCAAGCTTCTCCAATGTGAAGAATTACTGCTTTTCTTTGTATTCTTTCCACTCCTCTGCCTCCTCCTATTCCTTCTGTTTTCTGAAGGGTTGAGGGAAGAACTAACTCAAAGTCCAATGGCAGTCTGGACTAGCTGCAGAAGACAAGTCTATTCAAGCCGGACAAAACAAGCCACCTGACACTGTCAAGTTGAGATTTAGGACATTATGAGAGTGAGAAGTAACTTTTCACTACTCTCTGACAACAAAATGATTGGGAAAATAATCAGACTAATTGAAAAAGAAAATAACTGTTAGTTCTAGTCCTAATAGATACAACTGAACACATCGTTTAAAGTGCTATAAGGAATTGAATGCGAGTCTGACAAGGATACGCCACTCCTCTGATCCTCTTGATCTTTCCTGGGTCAGTCAGCTGCACTGGCCTGATAGTCCTGTGGACAGGGCAAGTGAAAACTACCTCTCCACCGCCACCAGGTGCCATACCCCTCTTAAGCACCTGGGGGTGCAGCAGCAAAGAGAGAATTAGAGAACAAGACCGACTTTCTGTCACATACCAGTAGTATATGCAATCATGGCCAAAAATACTGGCACCCCTTCATTTCTGTCACCACTTATCCTGAAAAACTGTTGAAATCACAAATTCTTTGGTAACCTCATGTTTATCTATTTCTTTTGCATTTGAACAACACAAAGCAGAGGAAAAAAAAAAAAGCCAAATCTGATACACTCCACACAGAACTCCAACAATGGACTGGACAGAATTACTGACACCTTCAACTTAATATTTGGTAGCACACCCTTTGGAAACAGTTTCTTACACCTGGTTGTAAATGTTATTTCCATGTAGCCAGCACCTGTTGATGGCTACAGGTTGTTTCCATTACAAATTAAAGGAACATCACATGCTTGAAATACAACTATGCCAAGGAATTTGTTTTCTGGGAGAAGTGGTGTGTTGTCTGACAGAAATACAGGGGTGCCAATATTTTTGGCCATGAGTATTTGAAAGAGCCCCACCCTATATATTGCATCATGCTACACTTGTCAAAAAGCCACTATAATGTCTTCACCTTGAGATCAAAGCCATCTCCATCGATACCAAATTTCTTCATCAGTGGGAGAGCTGTGGACTTCAGCAGGTCGACCTGCAGGAGAGAGTGTTTTTATTTCAAAACATGCTTGTTAGCCTGTGAAGGGCTGAAAATCACTACTAACTTGCAAAAGAACACCACTGTATTATTCTACAATGGACCACTTCACATTACAACAACAAGAAGAGACACTGCTCACTGTTTCCATGACAACACGTCTCTCTGGTGTTTCCAACTCACATTTCTTACCTTTTCCCTGACCGCAATTTTTTTCACATTATACACTCTGAAACAACGCAGCGCAAAGCAGAAAAGTGGATGGAGTGTTCGAGGGTACAGCCCTAGTTTCATATAAACCCTGTCATTTCCTTCACTTGTGTCTTTTCCTTGTGTCTTAGTCCCACCCACATAAGATGTGAGCAAAACATGAGAAAGGACTCAAGGAAATGTGTTATTAACAACATGAGAATCCTTTCTTCCAATCCTTCATCTGAAGTGTCAAATCACCAACTGATTTCTGATAAAGGGGCATGTCAGTTCACAAAAACTTCCATGAAGAATGGTCTCTTGTATCCTCGGTCATGGCTCCTCCAGCACCGTCCTCGGTTCTTACCTCTCAGAGCCGATATAAGAAACTTGGAACGTCCTATATCCTTACTCGACTGGAACGACTTTTGGATCGACTGAGCACATAAGATGCACTCCAAGACTGACTTGCAATAACAACACACCAAACATAAAAAATTCAGAGGCAAAACTGGGGAATACAGACTGCATTTGCAAATTACAATGGATGTTTCATGACTTTATCTAGTCAGGGTACCACATTATAAACTGTTAATAAACCTGGCTATGGCCCTGGTAAATTATGTTCTGTAGCTCTCTACCTAGACTTTGTAGGCACATACTGTACACATGAGCTCTTCTCTGCAACAGTGTTGATTTAAACTGGCATATAACTGTGCGCAATAATATATCCACTAGAGGGAAGTGTCTGTCTGTGCATTGGACCACAGCATAGCTTGCATATTTCTTTGCACAAGCATGCATCAGCTCCACCCAGTGTTTAAATCAGCAGGACAAAACTGAAACAAAACAAAAAAACACTAGCAGTTAGAGCGTGAGCTCATGCACGTATCTGCCCTTACCGTTGGGTCAGCAGGGTCATTTGTGACTCCCCTTAGTGTAGCTTTCAGAGAGGTCTTCATGAATGGAGCCAGCATGAGAAGGGCCTCCAGATAGTACCCAATCGAGCGCTGTGGGTTACAGTCATGTTCTACAAAGCCTCCTTGCAACAAGCCAGGCTGGTAAAATAACACAGTACCTTGTAGAAACAGAAGAAGAGAGTGATTCCATAGACAGTTCTATAAGCAATAGGCTCTACACAAAGCTGAGGTTCACAGCAATTAGATATTGTCAACATAGTTCAGACATAAAAAAACAAAACAAAAACAAACTTGGTTTAGGTTTCCCTTTAGTTAATGCAACCTACTGAAACTTCTCTATATTCAGTGACATTTCTACATTTGACCAAAAAAGAGGCAAAATTACACTCATAAAATTATGAGAACAAAATTTGTGACCACAATATTAACTTTAATTTACTTCAGTTGGTGTTATGCAATGCTGAAAACTTATCATTTGTACTACCCTTTGGCAGTAAACAGTTATAAAAACCACATCGTCTGTGACAAAGCTTTAACACTCACCTGTTTGGTTAATTTCTATTCTGGAGCCATTGGTCACTTTGTCTAGTAGTCTAATGAAACTGGCTTCAAAATCTGAAACAACCACCACCACAACAAAAAAACTAGTAAAATATTCAAAACCACTGATGAGGGTTAAACTTAAGACAAAGTACTATAACAATTATGCCAACGAGTAAGTTAAGGAAAACAAATGCTTTGGTTTTACATTTTTCATACAGTAACGTAATCAAAACAGAGTCTAACAAGAAGAATAACGTAAAGCCTTCTTACACCTTACTATAACTTCTTATAAGACATAAGATAATGCAAGAAAGAGCACTTCTAACACGTGTTCAAGGTTCTTGGCAACTAGAAAGAGACAACGTTGCATATTACAGTAAGAATGCATTTGTCTTACATGGACATTACTATGCCCTCAATTCCCGACTTCTGGCGCGCAGTGATTAACCACACTCCCAACTGCGTAACAGCTAGCTCGTTAGCCACCGTGCTAAATGTGACGCCACAGCTGCAACTCACCGCGAAGCCCCGGGTTGTCATCCCTAGACCTTATGTTTTTTATCCTAACACGTTTCCCACTGAGTGTAGATAAAACCAGCCGTTGTCTGAAGAAATTGCAGCCGTCGTATGCGAGTCCATGGCTTGCCATGTTATTGTTGTTTCTGCCTAGCGTCAGTAGAAATCCACGTGTGTTTGTGCAGGAAGACGTTGGTGAGAGACGAAGGTACGGCAAAGCCAGAGGGTCAAAATATGTTTTTTAAGCATGCATCGCAGCACTTGGTCACTAGATGGCGCGATATTACTACCGATTAAAACAGCATGGGCGTGCCAGAATAATATCATTGCGTCTTAAAGGCACAAAACGTGATTAAAATAAATGACTTGCAACATATTGTCACAATATATTAGGATTACATCTTTTATATTTCTTTAATAATATTTGTAATGTTAAATAAGGTCAGTTACACAGAACTGGACCTTATTGTCGCTCTCAAAACGGTCGACAGTTCCTTTAATAAACAGACACAACATATTAAAACCAAAGGTTATATATTCTGTGAACTATTGAAAGTCGCATTTAAAATCTGTCATGTCTGCAAACATTATTTAATTCTACATTAATGGTCACACTATTTTAAAATCTTTTGGAAACTCTATACGAGAGAACAGCTTGGGTGATGTTTGCGTCAGCCTGCCTGCCAGCCTGCGTGTCTGACTACTGAAGGGATCGACTTGGAAGGGATTAACCATCGCAACAACCTTGCCAGTAATTTTTTTTTCGGCCTGTAGACCAATTACATAACCGCATTTACATCTTCACTAAGCCGTTAACAGTCACACAGGCGACTAGGTTTCCCATCACGCTGCAGAAAGAGGCTCATTTTTCCCAGTGTAGCTCCATCAACAAGAAAGCGAGTCCTCAATTGGCCCTGCACCGTAGTGTGCGCAGTTACTTTTTTTTTTTCTTCTTCTTCTTCTTCTTCTTCCCCCTCCTTCCGTCTCCTCCTCCTCCTCCTCCTTCTGCTTTCTGGGGTTCTACAGGAAATAAAAACTCAAGGTCCCGTGAGATTTCAGACTGGCTGCAAAAGACGTGCCTACTCCTGGTAATTGCGCTCTTTTCGGGAAAGACAGTTAAGTAGGCCCGTGCCTGATCTGACCGGTCTAGGCTGCATCCAGAGGGGTTCGTGGGAATGGTAGGAAGGGTGTTCTATTCTTAGAAACTATCCTTTAACAGTATTTGCACAGAGATGGTACTGCAAAAGATTTTTCGTGCTGTTATTATGGGACCCCCGGGTTCAGGGAAAGGAACCGTGTCGGGGCGCATAATCAAAACTTTTGGACTGAAACATCTTTCTAGCGGGGACATTTTGAGAGCCAACATCAACGCTAAAACCGGTAAGACATTGGCGCCCATTCACGAAAAACATCCCACTGAAATAGTATATTATTTTAAACAAAATCCACACCGTGTAGGTCAGCAGGCTGCAGTGAAAGATTATTTCAGGCATGCGTTCATCTCTAATCTCTTAAAATATGCTACAAGTTGTTATTATTCTACACTATTGCTTTCTGTAGACATGCACAGGTAGAAATCCAAATGTTATGAATAGCTATGCTCAAAACATGAGTAGGTTATTATACACAAAGAGACTACAACGGTGTGAAAAACAAGTTTGATATCTGGTTTACTGTGATAAGAGCGCCACTCCAGTCTAAGTTCTTATCTGGTTGTGACATACCACACAAGAATATTGCATAGAATAGAGCTCTGCTCAGCCAAGGTCAAACTGATTGGGAGGGCTGTTTTATGTTTAGACTGAAAACACTAGGCCATTACCTGCACTTTGGAAGGAGTGTCCATTTCCCATCTGTGTCACCTTGGATGAACACATGACAGGTGTACAAGTGTAAAGATAAGGAAAGCCATGCACCTTTGCTCCTTGGGAGAAGGGACCTCAGATTAAAGGGTGTGTTTTTACATCTGTATGACACATTGGACAATCAAACTGCAGTAATGCACGGATAAAATTGAGTCTTCTGCAGTGCCTAAGATGTGCAGTCAAGTTCAACAATTATTTGTGCACACGTATACTTTCATCTTCCTGCTTTGTTATACCTTCATATACAGATGTTTTCATGTTGCTCAATTTATTCTTATATTGTTGACAAATGAGCAGTTAGCGGCCAAAGCAGGTCTTCTTGATGTTTTAACATTCTATGGTTGTGAACCGGTGACCTTCCACTTCCTGACACAGCCTTAACCTTCTTATTAGTTGTACAGGATATTAGAAAAACCCATTTGTGTGTGAGCACTGCATATAAACTTTACAGTACATTAACCTGACACTACCCTGTGGCTTTAACACCTTGTTCATGGTTCAGAGTGCAGGCCCAAAAGCATGCTGTGAAATTTTTGTATTTAACTAAAATAAACAAAAGTGAAAACAGCAACTTATTTGTCTGTGTATGTCAGAACAACACCAACATTTCAGTTCTGTGTAAAAGTCTTACTTCCTCTGTGTAGCCTGTAGTTTCTCAGTTGAGTTTTATAGTCAGTTTTACTCCTTGCTCTGTTTTATAGTGACATAAGAGCAGCACAGCCAGGTCAGTTCTGCAAGGCTTGTTGGAAAAGCTGTAGTCCGACCAATTAAAGTGGAAGTAACATGAAGAAAAACTGTCATGCCATACCCTAAATCCAGGTTATCCTTAAAACAGATTCATTACATAGCTTTTCAGTCACACTACCCACACTCATCTGTTTGCTTATGCAGCTTGATAATAGCTACACTACGATTATAATGACTTAGATATTCACACCTACAATGCCAAAGCTGCACTAAGACATGAAGTGAAAACATTTTAGATGTCCCATGCATCATCCTATACAAATTTTCCTGTAAATCTTTCTCTTTTTTACACCTTAAATCCAGTTGTGTAGCACTGAAACAGACTTGACTGTCCAGAGTGTCTTTATAGTGATGTCAACATTACAAACACTGGCAGTGTTGAGGCAGCTAAAAATGAAAAGGCTAATATATTTTTAGAGAAACCTGACATCGGATATCTGCAGCTAATCTTTAATTCTGTGATCAAAGTAGCCTTTAAACAGTCCACATTCAGAAGCGCTGTCAGTAATGATTAGATCATCATCCTCTCTGTGTATGTGTGTCAGACCTCGGCCTGTTGCTGAAGTCCTGCATTGATCAGGGTCAGCTGGTACCTGATGACGTCATGTCTCGTCTCATCCTGAGTGATCTGAGAGCAATGGACCAAAGCAGTTGGCTGCTTGATGGTAGGAGCACACGTTTTTATCACCACACATTGTTGCTGGAAAACGATTGCTATTTATCAGCATTGTTTCCTTTGACCAGGTTTCCCTCGTACAGTATCCCAGGCAGAGGCTCTGGATGCTGTCTACAGTCTAGATACAGTCATCAACCTCGACGTACCCTTCCAGACCATCCAACAGAGACTCACCTCTCGCTGGACTCACCTTCCCAGTGGCAGAGTCTACAACACAGATTTCAACCCACCTAAAGTCCCTGTAAATATACATCCTCTCTTAACCTATTGCTCATTGCACCCACAGAGCCTTTTCAGATATGAATGCCATTGAGCTTTAACTTGGCATAATACTTTACTTTGGACATAAAAAGAAAAACCTGCCACCCAGCTGCTGTTTTTCTCCTAAGAAGTAAAGCATACTGTTGATATAAGACTACAGAATTGGTAGAATTACATAAGGTTTTCTGAATTTATTTTTATACTTTTAGAAAATAGCTAATTAAGAGGAAATGACACAGGAATAGGAAATTATACAGCGCTTCCCTTGATTGGCTCAGTTGATCGGTCTACTGGTAAGCATTACATTTAATACAGCAAGGATACTCGGTGTACTGATTATATCAGTAATCATAAGATAAGATAGTTTATTGCTAATTTCAGTTGCAAGTTGACAAACTACATGTCATACAAGCAGTTTTCAGCATTAGTGTTTCTTTGTAAATAATGAATGATCCACAGCTGATGTGCATGTGGTCATGCATTCTTTCTCTGAAGTGATGTGCAACTTCAGAAGAACTTGGAATTGTTTGAGCCTTGAATTCAAACATTCCACATAAACCTTGTTCAAAGGTTTATGATCAAAGATCAATTCATTTTATGCAGATTGTGGAACAGCACCTTCATGCTCTTCCCCCTCAACACAGATGTTCTCTTTAGGGACTGTGTATGGTCTCTGAGTAAACTGAAGACTGTAAATAAATGCAACTTTGGATGCATGTTTCATAACAGCATCTCTTAGTGAAATATAAAAGAGGTAGACTGATGCACTATGGACAAGCAGCTGGTCAGTGCTAAGGTTCAGACACCGTGGGTGTCCAAAGGGTCATAATGTCAGTGCACATCACACCATAATTATTACTCCACCCTTCGGCCCTGCAGTGCACATTTCTGCTTCAGTGGGTTGAGATGTATAGAAACACTGGTGTTTTCTTTTAGTTCCATTATGAGGCTGATATTCTTTTCAGTAAAATGTTGGTTTTTATACAATCCTTTATGATCAAAAACCTGAAAAATGACATTTCACGCATGTCAACATGCTGATGTCTGCAGTATTCTCAAATCACTGCTGTCCTATACAGCCTCACAAATGCATCAGGTCATACTTTTTGCAGAACCCACAATAAGAAAACACAGTGAGTCTTGACTGGGGAAAACACAACAGTCCTCATCCTGCACCACCAAACACCATGATGTCTACTTATGGTTATGGACTAATAGTCACTGGAAGTTACAATGCTGAAGCATTTGTTTCTGTCTCAGTAGGTTTCCTCACTTTTATGTGATATTTCTTTGTTATTCATCTGTTAAAAAATTAATTTCAGCTTGTGGAAAATATGCACTTACAGTAAAAAGTGCCATAACAGCATATTTTTCAGGTGTAGTGTGTGATTTAATAAGCAATGTGCTTTCTCCAGGGCTTTGATAATATGACAGGAGAGCCTTTGGTCCAGAGGGATGATGACACACCACACACGGTCACACTGAGACTGAAGGCCTATGAAACCCAGACAGAGCCCGTCTTAGAGTTCTACAGGTAGCACATTGTACATACTGTAAATTAAAATATACTCCAACCTATTTACTATGTTCTCATCTATTACATTATGAGGACTCAGCTCATTACAATAATGTATCTTGCATTTCTGGAGAGAGAAACTAAACAGTCTGACTACAATGTATTCCACAAAAATGCTTTGACATACAACGGCTTCATTTTTTGTGTTAATTTAATTTTAAATGGATGATTTTGCCATTTTTGCTGATTGAGCTACATATAAGACCCCTTAATGGCAAAGTGAAAACGTGTTTTTAGAAATTTTTGCAAAGGCGTCAAACTATAGAAGCCCCTTTGGCAGCAATTACAGTGTCTTCTTGGGAAAGTCGTGACAAGCTTTGCACATCTGGATTTGGGCAGTTTATCTGTGGAGCCACTTTTCTTCAAGGACATCCCTGTATTTGGATGCATTTATTCTTCCCTCAATTCTGACCAGTATTCTCAAAAGAATCTTTTTTCCTCATGCTCTGAGTCCTTTAAGTTACATTTGACAAACTCCAAGCAGGCTGTCATATGCCTTTATTTAAATGGCTTCCCTCTAGTTATTCTGTTGTTGAGGAAATTATTTTTTAAAAGTTAAGATAAAGGTTTTATTTTCCAAAACAAGATTAAAATCTGTACAGGCTTCTTTTGACATCACTGTTTCTGTCCAGATGTGTGTACGTGGCTACAGCAGAAAGGATCTCTCCCTGGCATTGTTTCCTACAATCAATAAAACCCAGGGGAAAAAAAGCTCAGATTCTGAGTTTGCATGTGCATGTACTACATGCATCATGATTTCTAAAAGCCACAGAATTACAGACTAGGAATAGAAGGGGATAGTGTGCTTGTTCACTTTAGAGGAAAAAAAACTCACTTTGATGTTTAACACCTTTTATTTGCTGTACAGTTTATTCTAAGGCAACAGTCATGTGCAATAACAACTGATTAACAGATCATGCACATATATTCAACAGATCAAATATTAACTGTAAAAGCTGATTTTTGTTCCTTTTCTCCTCCAGGAGTAAAGGTGTGCTAGAGACATTCTCTGGGACAGAAACCAACAAGATCTGGCCACACATCGAGGCTTTCCTCCACAGAAAACTCCCCTCTGTCAATCAGAAAGCCGCATAAACAGCCAGAGCAGAAAGGCACAAGAAGGGTTAAAGTTTATCAGCCAAAACCACTCGTCCAATCAAGATACCACTTTCTACGACAGAAGAGGAAAACCATCTGTGTGATATTATGTTCTGAAAAGACAAGCAGGCTCACATAATTTGTCAGGTAGCAATAGCAAGACTACACATAGTGTTGGGAAGTGTTTGTTGCACAGTTTCCACAGCACTGCAGTAATTCGCTTGACAATCTCTCAGGATGGGTGCACGTAACCCTTCAAACATTAGCTGCTAGAATTCACACAACTTGTATTTCTTCTGTAATGTGCCTTTATAAAGTCAGAAGACACCACTAAATTAAATATCAAGGCTTTAACAGTAAAATACTGAGGCCATGCTGCAATACAAAGATGGGGATAGCGGTTATTGCATAACCACTCTGGTGAATCCAGCCAACCTTAAGCAGTGAAACTGTGTATAAATATTTAACTTTTACGTTTTCTCATTGCTGTCATGAGTTCTGACAAGAATGGACTCACAAAACAAAATATACTGAGCTAGATAAGAGGCACTCCTTTTTGGAATTCTTTTGAAAGCAATATTGTGGGCATTTTGCTCTAGCATAACTGACTTATTGTGACTGTTTGTTATGCAGAGGATAATGTGCCATGTCCTACAAATGACCGTAAATTCACTTATGCACTCAAGTGCCTTTTGAAAAGGTAACATGTTGCTTAGTGAATGTAGATTGCAAATACTTTTTATGAATGTTAACTCTGACCTGAATAATGTATAAATTGACCCCGTGTGTTACATTGAATATTTTTACTCTTTTATTTAACCATCCTTGTGTAACAGCCTCTTTCAACCACCTCAAGTCTCAAGTGTTGCCTCTTAAGTATGCCACACTGTTTGCAATTAAATCAGGCATCCTGACAACTAAACTTGTATTCATGTTTAGCACTACATGTGATTTGACAACTGAAAACATAATTGAAAACTACTGTATATGAACAAAACATTTTAAGGACAGTTTTTTTGATAAAATTAAGTCATTCACAGTTGATCTGCACTTCCATTTTAAGAATGTTTCACCATGTTAAAATCCATAGAAATGCTAATTTGCATTTCAATGTATTATAGATTTATGTAGTGAATGTTTCCTGAATTGTACTGACACCTACAACACCCACAATGCAACTCGACAATCAGTAGAGTAACAATTTTGGCCTCCTCAATTTTGAATGTCGCTGAATGCCACCTTACAACTACTGCAGGTCTGCAGCAGCTGAAGACCAGACACAATCAGCAGTGCTTTCATAAATGGGTTTCTTACAGCAGCAGGAGACAAAATCATACCCAGATGTCTGTGAATGAGGCAGTGTAACATAATTTTCTTAAAGCTTATAGCTTAGTGACAAACTGACATCACATCTTGCACTCACACATATGGCGATTAGCTTCAGAAACACAGAATTTATTATAGGAAGTCAACACCAGAGACATTGCCCACATGCTTACTACTTTTAGTTTAAACCCAAGTTATTTTGCATAGTTGAGTTGTCACTGTAGACACTAAAAAAAAAAACATAAAAAAAAAAATTCAACTGGACTACAGCACATTATTTTAGCTTCACTGCCGACAAAACCTTTATTTATGTTTACAGTTCACAGTTTGAGCAGCGCTGTGCAGAGCAGATGTAAATAATGACTGAAAGATTAAAAGGTGAGATGACAGTTTCTCTGCAGATTCAACAATGCATTCCATTTCTAATTCCCTGATCAGCAGTAAAAATTAGCTCAGCAAATTTTTAATGCAGATTTCTGTCATCTTATGGGGGCAGTTAATCAGAAGCCTAATGAATCTATCAAAGCTTCCATGAACACGGGGGGGGCATAACAAAACAAAATCTCACACTTCAACCCACAAGTTCATCTACTTGTTTATAAAATAAAAGTGCTCAGAAATTCTGAATAAATTCTGAATGTCTGAGGGAGCACAACAAAAAGTGAAACTAAAAATATATGAAGTGCTTCAAACATTCCAGCAAGTCTTTAATAGTTTGTTTTGAAAAGAGAAATATAAAGTGCAGAACACATTTGAATGCAGAGAGCTCTATTCTGCTAACAAATATACAGTAAAAGTCTCTGATGAGAGCTCAGCCCTTAGTTCCTCCCCTCCACACTGCTGCTTTTAAACTGGTGGCTGTGAAGATGTTAAACTGGTAAAGAATATGTAAGGTAGTTTACTCTGGTATGTCAGTGAACCAGGAAAAAAAAAAATACATACACAAAAGTCCATGTAGTCCTAAAAATGTTATATGAAGTATGAAGATTTTGGCATGACTTGTACCGAGGTTTGATCCTTTGATTAGGTAATAATTCAGCCAATATCCTTACATTACCAGATCCACTACACCCAGACAATACCTGGACTTTGAATATTCACATTTTAACTCAAAACAAAAATTGCATCCAATATCCTCATACAATTTGATCTTGCTCCTCTCATCGCATGTATTTATGTGCCTCAAAAGCAGAGTGCTTTGTCGTGCATTATTATATTTTTTCTCTAATATAATCCCGCACACACACACACAAAAAAAAACGAGAGCCAATACAGCCAAGTGCACAACATGTTCACTTTTGAGAATATAATGTATGTTGTGTTGCTGTAATTTGAAATTAACATTGTTTTCTAGTGATTCTGTATTGTAATTCCCACTAGGCATTATGAATATTAGGTCAGTTTATAAACATCCATGTCTAGTCTAGATAAAATGTGAATGCCAACGATGCATGTTAATCTCAAAGAAAAGAAAAGAAAAAAAAAACTAAATTCGATTACTTACACATTTTAATAGCTTAGGCCTGTACAGACAACACTAAGGATACTTTTTCTTTTAGAAAACCTTAAACATTAAAACCACTCTTGTCCTGCTTCAACAATATGCAGGAACTCCACCTCTGAAACCGTACCATGCTTTGACATTTAAAAGCATTTAAAGATATAAGGCCACAGTGACATTAACTAATCCTCATTCTGCATTTGTAGAAGCAGTTATAAAAGAACCTATTTGTTCTTTTTTAACAGTAGAACTCTTGCTTCACTTTGAGCAACAAGGCTTTGTGGGCCTTCCAGCACAAGGAATCACAACAGGCGTTCTCTGTACTTCCATCACTGTCTGGTTTGGTTCGGCCACCAAACAGCGGACAATCAGAACTACGGAGAAAATCACCAGTGCCAGCCTGCCCTCCATGGACGACCTGTACACCTCACGGGTCCTCCATGGAGGGCAGAGAGGATTTCTGCAGACCCCTCACACCCTGGACACAAACTCTTTGAACTTGTCCCCTCTGGACAGTGCTACAGGTCACTGTGCGCCAAGACAACCAGACAGACAGTTTCTTCCCCCTGGCCTTGGACAGCTAGTCTATGTTTTCTCTTAACTTGTGCTTTTAAACTTGTACACATTTTGTATTTATTTAGTTTTTATTGCTGTGCACATTGGGGGCCATTGGGCTGGAGTCAAATTCCTAGTATTTTTGGTAATACAGTTTATTCTTATGCTAATATTAAAACACCTGCACCAAAAGCTCTTGAAACATCAGTTTTGTCTGATTTGCGACAGTGTCCACTGACTGGCCACTCACACACACACAGAAAGGATTATTTCACTCTCCTAATGATCAGGCAAGAAAACACAGGGATTGTGTGCAGCTCTTTACATGCCGATCATTTGTGAGTCTACAGTAACAGAAACAAGGCCTATGGGGTGAAACGCAGCCAAGGTGACCTTTCAAACCTTTAACTGGGTAAATTTCATCCTGGCCTGTCAAATCGAAACTCTCAGGTAACCCTCACAGCAGCTTTGCCTTTAGGTAAGCTGTATCACAAATCATGCTCAGAGATGCTTAATCACATGCATGTTTTCCCCCCCCCCCCTCATGATTTATAAAGGTTTTCCACAGATCACACCACCATCTCTCTATTTTACAACAGTTAAGGTACACTGGACCCGTTAGACACGTAATCAGATTTGACCTAAAACACTCATTTTAAACTACTGTCTCTATAAAAGCTTCAGGATACTTTCCTTAATACTCAGGATTCTTCTCTAAAACTTGAAACAATTCATTTTAAGCATCTATGACAACACTCCTCAAATGTCCACTAAGGCAAGTTCTACTTCAGACATTGGTTTTAATTGCCTTTTGCCCAGAGACGTCTGGATTTAATTTTCAGTTTGTTGGTTAATTTTGCTTTTCAGTAAGGATGCGTCTATGATTCGGGAGAGAAAAAAAAAGCCTGAAGGAGGATGAGCGATCTAGAAAACCGCTGTTATGGCACAACACATGCTTTTAGCTGGCAAAAGACACTGCAGGCACCACCTCACCAGAGGCCAACCAACCACAGTAACACACTAACAGCAGACAGAATACATCTCCATTTATTCCTGTTCTGCACTGGCATTTCCCAGCCTGGTCTGCTGTGTAAAGAGCGCTTCAGACTCATGTCGTTCCTAAATGGGGAGATGATTACAGTGGAAGAAAATCAAGGGCCAATCCTACATGCCCTAGGAGGTCTCCATCATGCGTATATCGTCCGTTTCTGTAGTGTCATCCTTTGTCCACCTCCCTGTGCTTGTCCACAGTCCAGTCTCTATACAACGTTTCATATTGTATTCTGCCACCTGGTGGAGGGAGACAAAGACAGGGTCAGGTAAACCATGCACGGAACAAAATTCAAAATAGTTAAAAAATACGTAGAGCTACAGAGACAGAGTCAGGGGAATTAACTGACTGCTGCCTAGTTAGAGGATTATAATGGTTATGTAACTGCACTCTGCCTTGTCAGCATATCATGAGCTCACATCTGAGATGATCCTAAATTTCTGACACTGGATTCACAAAACATGTCTCTGCTTAGCTTTAAAAAAAAAAAAAAAAAAGAAAAAAAAATTGTTTTAGTTTAAGTGCAACATTTCAGCCAATCACGTATCTCAGCAAGCCAGCTCTGTGGAAGACAGAGCTCGATCCCACTGATCCCTGAGGAGGAGCAGGGCCAGATGAACCTGCGTCAGCACGATTACCCTGTGCTGTTAATAATAAATGGAAACAGAGGCCAACTCCTGTCTGCCCAGCTCTGCACCATAAAAGTGGGCTGAACTGTGCTGATGGAAAAATGCCATTACCTTAGAAATAAAATGTACCGTCTACCGATTTGTACTACTGCGAGGTTATCAAGTTTTAGCTTATAATGTCACGCTACCAGCAAACACACACAGAGTCAGGTACAGCTGAAAGTGAGGATGTGAAGTCTCTACTGTGTGACAGATGTCAGGGATTTAAATTAAGGAAGGCACAAAAAGGCTGCTTGCAAATACTCTGAGCAAGTCTTATCTCACTGATATCATCAACAAGAAATCCTGGTTTATAGCTAAAGTCAACCTTTGGCACTTTGTGCAAGATATTATTTGTGGCCACACCGTCTTTCACTCCATATTTTCCCTAATTCCCTTGAGTCCTTCCCTGTTGCACTGCAGTGCTGTTACTCTTTATGAGAAACACATGCCATGAAACTGAACATTAGTTAAAAAAGGTAAAAATTGTATACGAGTGTATATGTAACAATTGTATCACTAAAAGATCCAGCATTCAACTGAATGAATTTACCTGTTCTATATGTCAGAGGGTTAATCAACACCAGCTCAACAGTGCTATTTCACAGCTGTGTTAGGTAACTGCAACAGCTTGCACTGTTAAAAGAAGAGGAACACTTACAGAGGATAAGGAGTCCAGAGCTTCTTTGGGGTTAAGTCTGCAGTTTGTGTCAGTGTTCTTCTGCTCAACACTGTTGGCTGTATCACCTCTACATTTGGCTGCGTATTCTTTAACTCTATGTTTAAAGGCCTCAAGTTCTGCATGGAAGACTTCTAAGTAGACATCTTGTCCTTCCTACAAGGCAACAATAGTAAGAAATCATGACAAGATAACTTAAAAACAAAAATCTGGCAAAATGCATTCCAGTTACCACAACAGCTCGATTTATGTGCAACACCAACGTTTTTAAATGTACATCCTTACAAATATCACATGCATCACAATGGAACCATCATCTCTGAAATGATGGCCAGTAAAAAAAAAGCCTAAAGTAGGTACACAAGTACAGTACATGAAGTACTTGTATGTGGGCATCTCACTTTGGCTTTGTGGAAGAAATATCTGAAGCAGCCTCTGGGATCCTGCTGAGAGTTTGAGGCTGTCTCCAGGATGAACTGCATGACTACAGCTTGGTGCGCCACCTGCTCCATCAGTGCTTCTTTCTGCAAGTCACAATAAAACTGCTGAATTATAGTGTGTCTGTGTGCCTCAACAGCTCATCTATGTTACTTCTTGAGCTGTTCACAAACCTTTAAGTCATGTTTCGTAAAACCTGTGCTCTATAACTGAATTCTAATACTCAGGATCCATGTTGTATATGGAGCTTTAGTGTGCATGTTATTTGTGGCAATGTTTTGAAAACAAGGGTAAATTCTAGACTTCCAGCACCTTCTATGGATGACCCTGCCTTAAAGGTTAGTGATTTTCACATAATTTTGAAACTAAGCAGCATTTCTTTATCTAGAAGTTAAACATTCCCAGTTGGTGCCAAGAGAAAGAGCAATTGCTACACAATTCTGACACCTGTACCGAAAACACACAACCAAAACACACCCAAAATTGAGCAGAGTGTGTGTGCGCAAGCACACCAGACTCTGTTGCTCTAATCTTAAGTGATACACTAGGAAAAGGAAATTATTTCATCTTTTTATTACCACTAAATCCCCTGACAAGAATCCAACCAACAATTAATTTAGCCTGTGTAGCCACAGTGTGATGCAGCCCCTGTGCTGAGGAGCTACCATAATTGCCGACCAGAAAACCCCCCACAAAACCAAAATGATGCATAGGCTTTTTTCAATGAAGACATTAAAGCACAATTAGTAAGTAAAAAAAGGACTAAAATTCCACTTGGCTGCTTCAGTTTCAGCATCCTGCTCTTAGAAAGCTGGATCGCTGTCACAATTTACTCAGACACTTAGATGTTTATGCTGATTTTTCCAATTTGATGAGCCAAGAGGAACGAACTACACACCAAGTGCGTTCATTTTAATGAAAAATATAATCCATAAATTATATCAGACTATGACAACACACAACAACAAGGCAAATTAATGGTTGGTTTTGGTCTCTTAGTGATTGAAGTGTTGATAATAAAAAGACAACATAACGAGTCTTATCCCATCAGTACATTACCCCTTCTTGTTGTAGTCTCATGCACCACAAAATTAAATAATTGGCCGTTTCCTCACAGATGAGCTGAGGCATGTCGGCGAGGAATCGCTGACTGTCATCCCACCTCCGCAGCATACCTGACAAATGGAAACAGTTTCTTCTATGAAATCTTAAAAAGGAACATATGGGTGACTTTGCACATTAAAGTACAGTAGCAAAAAACTCTTGCAAGTACATAGAAGACAGACAAATAATTGTGATGAACTGCTCCCCTCTCTTATCGTTACAGATTAAACAGTAGTTATTCAGATAGAACACCCATAAATTTTTGTTTTACACACACACACTCACTGAGCAATTTATTAGTACCACTTGTACAATCATGTGCAGTATACAAAATCCTGCAGGTACAGGTCAGGAGCTTCAGGTATTGTTCACATCAAATAGTAAAACTGGGGAAAAAATATGATCTCAGTGACTTTCACTGTGGCATGGTTGATGGTGCCAGACCAGCTGGTCTGAGCATTTCTGAAACAGCTGATCTCCTGGGACTTTCACAGTAACCCATATAACCACTCTTTACAATTGTGCTGAGCAGGATAGCATCTCAGAAAACACAGCATGTTGAAACTTGAGGCAGATGGGCCGCCACAACAACAGAAGACCTGTCAGGTTCCACTCCTGTCAGCCAAGAACCGGTTTCACCAAAATTGGAGTTCTGAACACTGGAAAAAAAAAAGTAGCCTGGTCTGATGAATCCCGATTTCTCATGAGGCATGCAGATGGTACAGCCAAGATTAGGTGTCAACAGCATGAATCCATGCATTTTAATTGTTCTAATTATGGACACCAACACATAGCTTACAGGAAATCTGTAATTCTTCCAACTAGTTGACTGCCACTGCCTGGTTTTCATGGTTATAATTTAAACTGTCCAGCACTTCTGCTTCAACCCTAAGACACATATTCCTGCCTATCACTTTGCAAGCATTCTGTATGTTTTAAGACTAATTTCTTGCTTTCGAGTACAGACTGTTTACATTTTTATTGAATGAAAATCAGGTTCATCCCAGGGAGTCTGAATTCATCACTTCGATATTTCTAAAGAAAGTCACTTTGGGCTTTTCCGGCTTAGGGGTCACCACAGCGAATCGTCACACTGACGACTCGCATGTTGACATTTGGCATGTGTTTTACGCCGGATGCCCTTCCTGATGCAACCCTGACTCAAACCCGGGCCACAGCGGCGAAAGCGCTGCACCTTAACCACTAGCCTACCAGGGACCTTCGATATTTCTAAAAGTTAAAAGAAAAGGCTGAAACTGAACAACGTGATATAGCACAAGCATACAAAGTGCTGATGATTCAGATAAAGTAGAAGCTGAAAATCAAGCCACTCAATAGCTGACAAAGACAAGGAATATACTGAAAAACTATGTGCCTGGCCTTATTTTACCACAGCGAAGCTGGAGAGGAAAAGCCCGCAACAATCTTCATGCCACAAGTTGCGCGGCTAAAAGATATTTTATTTATTTATCTGAAAACAAACTAGTCTGAGCTGGGGTTTTTTTTCTTTTTGGACCATTAATCTGAGTAAGAGGATTCTTAGCAACCTCTGATTTAATGTGTCACTTACCAAAATGCTTAATCTCTTGCTCATACTTTTGAAGAAATGTCTTGCACTTGTCGTGATCCAGCTCAACAGGTTGATTGTGGACATTAATGACACTCTGTAAGAACAAGATGACACAAAGTCTTTATGACATTACTAAATTAGCATCCAGAAAGAGCAGATAAAAGTCAAACAAGTGAACATAATTAAAGACACAGACACAATGCAGCTGTTCTCTGAAAATCTAATCATGACATGTCTTCTGTTACCTTATCAAAAACATCCCAACTTCCGACGGTTCCGAGCACAGGACTGCGGCTGGGTTCCTGACCTCCCAGCATGCTCTCCTTGCGGCGCCACTCCTCCTCAGAGTGAGTGAGTTCTGTGGGGCATGCCAGAGTCCGAGCACGTTCCTGCTCCAGGGACTCAGAGTTGTGGACCCCTAACGAACACAGCTGGTCCTGTGCCTCTGCGAGTCTCCAGCTGGAAACGATAGAGGCCTTCACACAGCGCTGCTGGCTCTGGCACAGTGAAGCCATGGCACAGTCACAAATGTGTGGTGATGGTGAATGCTGAGAGGTAAATAGAAAGAAAAAAATAATGGAACACGAGAGAACAGGTACATGCCACCTGTAATGCAAGTCAAATTACCACTCCATGCTTTGTACAAGAAGAATATAAGAAATGTTTAAGCTTTGTATTGCTGGACTATTTGGTTCTTCTTACCATTGCTAACTCTGAGAGACGAGACAGTCCAAGTAACTTCAAAACAGTGCTGATTTATTCAAAGGATCACAGGTAAAATTAACATTACACGCTCAGGTATCTTGCACCTCCAA